ACTACCATCACGTCAAATACAACTACCTCATCCCACTCGTTGACTCGCCGTCGTTCTCAGCACGGCCACTTCCACGGCCACACTCATTCACACACCCACGTTCATCTGGCTCATCGTGACAGCAGCTGTTCTTATATCCAGGTCGTGTCAGGTGATTCATGTGCTACACTCGTCTCAGAATGTGGTATCACTGCTGCTGAGTTCTACCAATATAATACTGCCTCAGATCTATGCTCGACACTGGAAGTTGGACAATATGTGTGCTGCTCCTCCGGGGGTTTGCCAGATTTCTCCCCATCCGCTTATAGCAACGGCACCTGTTATACCTACACAGTCCAGTCCGGTGACACTTGTTCGGCGCTGGCGCAGACTTATAGCCTCACGGTCGCGGAGATCGACTCCTACAACAACGATACATGGGGCTGGTACGGATGTGATGACTTGCAGGCGGGGACCAACATTTGTCTTTCCACAGGCAATGCTCCCTACCCGGCAGCTATAACCAACGCTGTTTGTGGGCCCCAGGTGCCGGGAACCAACTTCACTGATGCACCCACTTCCTGGTACTGGGCTCAGTTAAACCCGTGCCCTCTAAATGCATGTTGTGATGTCTGGGGCCAGTGTGGTACTACCCCATTGTACTGCAATGACACGCGAGCTTCCACAGGTGCCCCAGGTACCGCAGCCGCTGGCTCAAATGGTTGCATCTATAACTGTGGAACGAACATTACCAACTATGCCGAGGAGCCGTCAGGATATGATGTGATTGGTTATCTGGAAGCCAGCAGTGTCAACCGTACGTGTCTCAGATGGGAGGCCTCTGACGTGAATACAACAAAGTATACGCATGTCAATTTCGGCTTTGGAAACATTGCATCCGACTTCTCTATCAATGTAGATGGGATGGAATCCGATTTTAATCTTTTTCTGAAACTGGTTGGGACTAAACGAATCTTGTCCTTTGGTGGATGGGACTTTTCTACGAGCAGCAGCACGTATATGATATTCCGTGAGGGAACCGCTGCGGCAAATCGTGAGACGTTCGCGACGAATGTGGCCAATTTCATTACTGAGAAAGGACTTGATGGAGTCGACTTCGATTGGGAGTACCCTGGGGAGCCTGATATCTCCGGGATTCCGGCAGGTGGTTCAGACGAAGGCGAGAACTATCTGGAATTTCTGAAAGTCCTGCGTGCACTCATGGCCAATGATACAATCATTTCGGTAACTGCTCCGTCATCGTACTGGTATCTGAAAGCCTTTCCAATCGCTGAGATGGCCGAAGTCGTTGACTATATCAATTACATGACTTACGATCTTCATGGTATCTGGGATCTAGGCAACGAGTATTCGCAATGGGGTTGCAGCGACGGAGACTGTTTGTTCTCGCATGTGAACATGACGGAAACAATGTGGGCATTGGCGATGATCACCAAAGCTGGGGTAGCGACGAAAGACATTCGCGTCGGTGTCTCCAGCTACGGCCGTTCCTTTCATATGACCACCGCGGGTTGCTATGAGTCGTGGTGCACATATGATACTGCGGGCGCCGCAGGACCCTGCACTGACACAGCCGGATACATCGCTGAGGCCGAGATGGAGGAGATTCTAGCCTCGGATACGACGACCCAGTCTTACTCCACGTACGACACTGATATTCTGGTTTATAACGAGACCCAATGGGTGGGATACATGAATTCCACTACGCGCGCGAGCCGGATGGCATACTACGAGCAGTTCAACTTCGGTGGCACGGCCGAGTGGGCCATTGACCTGGAGACCAATCCTCTAGGAGACTCAGATGATGATGATGATGATGGCACCAGTCCTTTAACCACCACCACGAGCACTACGACTGTCACCATCGACCCAACTGTCTGGATAGAGCCCTCTCCAGTCGTAACCTGCGTGCCGCCTTGCCTCATGATCATGCCGCCTAAGCCGCTGGAAACTACAACCACCATTACCTTCAGCGAGTGGGACACGCACATCACATGGGCCTCCACGGCCACCAAGACCACAACTCTGGCCAACGGAAATGTCGTGACCTACAAATCCATGCAGAATTCGGCCATTCCCACGCGACTTTCTATCGCTCCCGTTACCACCAATTATGTCAATGTCTGGAACCAGGCCATCACGCCAGGCCAAACCAGGGTCTATCAGACCAGCTCTATCCTTCCCACTCCTTTTCCTGTGGTGTATACCCCGTGAGTAGCCAACGTTCCTTTCAGGAAAACATCTTTTCCCATTACACCATATATATAATGAAAGCTGACTTCGTACCTAATAGAACGGTGGGCGGCGTGACAAACGTCTATGGGGGTACGACAAGTACTATTGCAGGTGTCAGTTGGTCCTTTGGAAATGCCACCTACACCAGTCCCGCATGGACTGGAGTATTTGGGGGCACAACAAGCGTGACAGGGGGCACAACACTGTCTCCTTCAACGACTATTGTTACGCCACACCCTTACCCCACCGACACCAGCACTACTGATCCGGTCCTGAACACTCGTACTACTCGAATGAGCACAGGATCCCCTGCTGGACCGACTCCTACCTCTTCTGGAGAGCACACCGGTCATCACTGTAAGCATTCCCATCGATGTACCCTACATTTTGAGCACCAACCCTAATCGGACGAATAAAGGTGTCATATTCTGCGCCTGTGCAGTTTGCCCTCCTGACCTCGATCTGGATGGGAGCTTTGGGGGAGAAGATGATAGCGGTGGTGGCGGGAGCAGTGGCAGCAGCGGGAGCAGCAATGACAGTGGAGACGACAGCGACGACGAGTCCAGCAGCACGAGCAGCACCAGCACCAGCACTGAAACGGCAGACGTAACCATGGGCGGAGCAGGCACTACCATCTACTACGAGTTCGTTCCCACCGCCGCGTCCACCAATTCTGCATTGCAGTCATCGATCGATCAATACCTGGGATCCGTCTTCCGATCCCTCTACGGTAGTGAGGTGGCGGCCATCACCGCCACGGAAACCGGCACCGCTGCCGAAGCAAGTATCACTTCCAGCAGCCCTCTTTGTGTAGAGGCCCAGGATCCTGACAGTGGATCGGATGACACCGTCTGCTCCTGCAGCGGAGGTAGCGGAAGTTACCCAACCCTCACTGTCGGGACCAACCCATGCGGATACACAGCGTTGCCGACCAAGACGACCACCGATGCATATCCTTACACCTTCACACAGGCCGATGGCTGGATCGTCGGCTGCGCCTCCACGGGCATCATTGACGATGTGAGCTACTGCACTGGCTCTCGCACCACGGTGGGCGTCGATCGCACCATAGACCCATACCCTTACACCTTTACTCAAGCGGACGGCGATATCGTCGCTTGTGCTACCACGGGCATCATCGACCATGTGAGCTACTGTTCTGGCTCCCGCACAACCGTCTCTACAGCCTCGGCAACCGCCACGGAAACCTCTCAGGCCTTTGCCATCTGGCGCACCAAGACAGTGGAGAAGTCCTGTGTCAACTCCAATTGTATTACGGTCACCGACGGCAATAAAGTTATCGCTTCATCAGCAGATACCACCGACGGGGACTTCTGCGAGGACCTTGCGTATGAAGCGACCAATTCCAATACAGGGAAGGCCCTGACTACGAAGTTGGTTGCTGATTTCACCTTTTCGGACTGGTCCGTTTGTGGTGTCTCTGGAGGCTACTCCTGCACTGAGACATCGAGCACCTCGGGGGTGTGGGAGTGTGCTGATGCCGATGGAGGGAATACTGCCCGTTGTGTCAAGTCGACGGATAGTTCATCGCCGTTGGTTACGTGCGAGGAGACTAGGACGGGTAATGGTGAGGATGTGTATTCGTACTTGTTGGCTAATTGTACTGCGGAGTGGAGTTGTGCGGTGGATTTTTAGGGTGATGAGTGATGATAATGTAACATTATACTCTCTAATCAAAAGAGGTGGGCTGAATTTACTCCATTCCAACAACTACGTAATTTATTGCCCTTCTGGTGATAAGCAGAGATTTTCACGTCCTCATGGTATAAAAGACACTTTTGCAAGGAAGTTTGAACCTCCTAGAAGCAGCCATAGAAGATCACCTTTTCAAGTAGTGATAGAATTTTGCTAGCTTACTAATAAAATGCATCAATCTGCTCTTTGAGCGATATGGGCGGGCTGGATGTGCAGTCCAGCGAGTTGTTCAACTTTCCATTAGTCCTTCCGACTGCTTTAAATGTTAAGAGCTGTTCAATGTCTCGAACAATTATGAAATCAGAAATTTTCCACAGCATTTAAAACCGGATGGCATATCATATAAAGCTACATTATCTCTATGGCTACTGAGTGGATTCTTTCTTATGGTGCTGTGCACATGAATGTGTTGTGAGGCCCTCACGCCTGTGAGGATATTATACCTGTATGTTGCATAAATATTATAATCTATGTTTCTCTCTCAAAGTTTGCTCGGAAGAAGACTACCTGAGAGATGTTTATGACTCTAATGACTTGGTGGGGTCAGGATTCCCTGAGTAGTTATTGGGTTGTGTGAGATAGTTTGACGTATTTGAATTGATGTTTCTCTACCTGACATCAAGGGGACGGCAAGTAATAGTGTGGGACTCCGTGAACGAATAACTCCGTGAGTAATAGATGGGTTTGATTCCTGGGAAATGGTGATAATCCGGGTCTTACCTTCGAGAGATCGGCAAAATCCCTTGAATGCCAGGTGAAGTAGCACGCGCCTTCACCTATAAATGAGGCCTAAAGTTTTCGACTGGATCACATAACTATCGTCTTCAGCTTCAAGCATCAAGCTTGGTCTTATTGCTTTTCAGTTTGACCAAGGTAACTAGAATCCCCAAGTTTCCGTGATTCAGGGTCACCAAACATAGAAAGCAGCGATTCACCCATATTTTCCAAGTCGCCCATTTGTCATTTCTCCTTCCGACCAAAACGTTCTTCTTCCAAACCATCACCCTCAGTCTTTCACTTGCCAGCCTCCTCCATCAAATCAACACACAATGAGCCGTTGGCACAATTCAAGCTGCAAACGGCCAGATGTCAGTGTGGCAGGTGGTATTCCGTGCTGCAATCATTGCTTCGCCATTGCTATCATCGAGCAGGAAACAAGACTCACAGATTCACCACTGCCACTGAACGACCTATCTCATATTTCTCTGTGGCCATCATGTCCCGATTCAAATAGCCTAAATATATCAGAGGAAAGCACAGAACATGGCGACAGCGAACCTCGGACAGACTATCAAGAGATTGCATTCCCGACACTGCCCTCCAAAGATCACATACGACTTGTAAGGTTGAATGCTGGCCCTTTCGATAGTATGCTTCATGTTGACCTGGAAGTGGTAAACATCCACAATTGTCCCGCTGAATCCTTTGAAGTCTTATCTTATGCCTCAGTCAACGAGAATGAAGACTCTGGCAGCTCCCACATTGTCTTCGTAGGCAAGTACTGGGACACTGTTCATGTATCATACAATTGCCAACAGGCGCTTCGCTTTGTTCGAAACCAGGAGTTTGATCGACTCTTATGGGTGGATTCATTATGCATCGATGACGCTAACCTCAAAGAGAAAAGTCAACAAACCTCCTTGAAACGAAAGATCTGCCAAAAGGCGTCCAAAGTACTTGCCTACTTGTGTGAAGAAACATCCGACAGTCGAGAAGCTTTGGACTTTCTCAACAGCATCGCTATAACAGATTCCGAAGTGAGCACTGGCCATGAGCATATAAACAAAGAGAATCGGAGAGCTTTGAGAATCCTTCTAGAAAGACCATTGTTCACCAGATTATGGTTCCTTGTTGAAGCGTTACTAGCTCGAAACCTTGAGTTACTATGCGGTGCAAATTCAGCTCCATGGCCTAAAGCGCCTTTCGCGTTGGCTCATGAAGACGTTCCTATACCCGACTGGCTATTCCGGAAGGAACACTGGTACGGGCTTACAGATCGAGATCTTTTTACCCATATTAGCACAAGTATCCTCATACGAATGTTCCGATCCGCGGGACAAGGTATTTGCTGTGCTTAGCTTGATATCCCAGAGTGAACTTATACCCGACTACACTGTTTCCGTTGAAAGAATATACACCGAACTAGCTGCGTACCTTATCAAGGTTTGCAACACCATGGATGTTCTTGAATCAGCTGGTCTAACAATAAAGACATTCGACCTCCCCTCCTGGGTCCCAGACTGGTCGCAAGCATTATCCACGACCGCTACATCCATTCCAACAAACAACCAAAGACTCAGCCGAAAATACAACAAAGTCTCAGGCTCAGGTCGTGTAATATTCCGATCCTACCTTGCCTTTGACTGTGAGAGCCACCTGAGCGCAGCTACGCCGATCCTGCGCACTTCCACTATCAAGATTTGCGGGTTAGGGGGTAGTATCAAGCGTGGTCCAACTCGTGTAAAAATCAGAATGGCGCTGGATGAAAGAGCAACTCTATCGGTTTCCTTCCCCAATCGAGGATAAGCAAGGGCAAGATAGCTTGTACCTTCTCGGTGGATACAACAACCCTGTCATTCTCAGAGAAGATTCTGTCACGGGCTCTTATCATTTCGTATCGACCTGTGCCCTTTCGCTCAGACAACCGCATACCAGTAGATGGCTGCTGCCTTGGGCCAGTGAACAGCCGAATGAGCGGTACATCGTCTCAGGACTGTCTCCTGAAGATAATAGTTTGATTCGCGAGTTCCATCTGCTCATGGAACAAACTACCCAACAATCTGTTCCCTTAGGCGGCGATGACGAAATTCCCATCCCCTTCGCCAGCATCAGAGACAGAGTCTTTAACTTTTCTCTATGGCTGCAAAGCCCGTTGCCGAGACTTGAAAAACAGTTGTGGGATAAATGGGAAGATTCAAACAGAGAGTTTGGCTGGATGTTCCGTGATCAACATGCAGCATGGCAGTTCCTTCGACAAGTCAATTCCTTGCAAGTTGCCGGAGGACAGGGAGAATTTGAGATGCTAGTGGACAAGTTCGATGACATCCAGACTACATTGTATTGCGGTGTGAAGCTGCCTTGGACATATTCATGGGATCTCAGTCGATTTGTCTGGTCGTTTTTACGACCCTTGACTCCAGAACAAGCGGCTCAAGGACCACAATGGACTCCAGTGCTGGGAAGGATGATGACGGCTCTTCCTAAAATTATAGAATGGGCAGAAACGACGGAACAGCTATTGAAGTTGTTTGAATATAGTCAAACTATATTCGGCGCCCGCTGGGCATCATTTCCTGGTAATGGACTACCTCAGAAGTGGATTGATAACTACGAAAATTTCTACAAGATTCTGAATATGGATATAAATAGATTCATTGCAGACCTAAGGACATCACTGGATTCATCTTGTCACTGGGACATTCGAGAGTTCGAACATAATGCCCGAGCTAGATGTCGTCTATGGGATCTCAACCTACCTCCCGAACTAGAATCAGGAAGTGCTAGTAACATAGCAGTGCATGCGGGCTTTAGATCCCTAGGACTAGAGCTATACGATGAGCAGAAGGTAGACATCCTTTGACAGATGCGTTGACTCTGCTCTGACATGTCTCTTCGGTGTGATATCCTGCGTCCTCGTTGACTCTACCCTAGTTCCGACGAATGTATACCGCAAGGTCCCGAAATTTTTCATTATAATCAGGGAAATCGAATTCGTCATAGTATTCCCGTATGCAAGTTAACACGCGTGGAGAGACAGGGTCGGTCCTATACAAAATAAGTTTGCATATCCTGTAAACTGGAAGAAGAATGAGAAGGAGAGAAAAAAAAAATTGAGCAACTTACATGTGATCTTCATTCTGATCCCTCACTTTGTTCCATATCAAAACAGCCGGCCGAGCTATATCAAAAACAATTTGCCGCACAGCGATATTCGGAGCAACCGAGACCACAGCTGTGGACTCATCAACTTCGAGAAACGCGTCGGGGTCTTCTACAATCTTAATTCCATGCTCCCCTGCAGCAACTATATCATTCTTCTTGCACACTGGGTCCTGTGCAAAACATGGAATCGCATCCTGTGACACCTTGTGCATTTTGCAGAATATGTCACGGAGAGTCAAAAGTAGAGCGTGCTGAAAAGCCGATCGATCTTGGAAATCGGGGTAGACTGTTGCGAAAGACCCAAGCGCAATCCCAACTATTTTGGATATAGGGGCAGTCTTTCGTGACATGAGCTTCACCCGAAGCTCATGACACTCCTTGGTATTTTCCCAGATCTGGCGACTTTCTTGTAGAAGCTTGCTTGCATCAGGTACTGAATTAACTGAACAGTTCAAGTACAGCTCCTTGGTGTGGATATCCCGTAGATACTTGTAATGGCCAATCTCGATATGGTTGTAGGGCAGATAATCCCCTAGGTTGTAATCATCGAGTAGTTCTTGCAGAGATGAATATGATATGCAGGGGTTTCGGCTTCGTGATCCAAAGTCAGTGGGTCAATGCACCTTAGCATGAGAACGTATCAATAAGCACACATACATAATGTACTCCATACCAGGCTCATCAGGTGCTGGATAAATCTGCCCTATGAGTACTAGAAACTCAACCAATACTCCATCCAATCCTGGCACACGTATACTCTGAATAACTCCATCGCGAGCGTCCTGTATCTGCTGTTTAAGGTTCTGTAGCAACTCCTTGGTGTAGAATGGCTTCCCAGAGTCATACATCTCCCGGATATGGACGAATATTTCCTGCGGGGGCGGTAGAGGCGAAGGGTCAGCTCGGGTTGCTAGCCCGATCAAAGTGGAAACTGGGCTTGCTGCTCTTTCCATTGCGTATCTTCAAGTAAAGGTGATTACTATGTGGGAAGATTAAATACAATGGAAGATGCAGGCGCGTAAACAGACACAAGATGGGCTAGGCTGCAGATTGTGAGGGTCAGTGCGCCAGTCAGCTGAGGGGAAAGCTAGTTGTTGTTGTTGTACTGCGGAAGGAAGTGCCACCAGCCGCTAGTGACGATCTTATATCTTTTTATTCTCCGAGAAAGCCTTTTGAAAGGTAGGTGGATTATGTATAGTACATAGTAGAGAAAACTTAGGTACTTCCACTTTTGTCCTTGTGGATGGCACGGGAATGTCCCGTTCGGAACAAGCCTGGCGGCAATCGCCGTGTCGACGGTGCAGACTTACGAATCATGGTTTGGTATATAGAGATCCGTATGCATATTACAGCTAGATAAAACGGGAAGTTGAGCAATATCATGCAGGGTAATCAGGAACTGGGATATGCTGAACAACATTGGGAGCAGATCAGAAAGCCTTGCATGTTATGTGGTGAGCTCGTCTCGGGCCACTTGTGAGTCTACGAGACTTTCCCTATTTCCATACTAGTATATAATGTATGGGATCATTTGGTATCATTTGGTGTTTAGCTATTTTCGCGAAGTAAATCGTAATATATTGACTACTCTCACCCTCCAAGCCCTCTATGGTAGGGCTACAGTTATTTCTTTTTATTTCATATAGCAAATAAATGTCACGTATTGATGAGAAGTCCTCGATGGTCTAACGGTCATGATTTCCGCTTGTCAATCCCTTTCAGGAACAAGCGCGGGAGACCTGGGTTCGACTCCCAGTCGGGGAGATTTCTTTTTTCTTTTTGCGTATCTTTGCCAGTTTTCTTTATCCATCTCATGTTGAGGTTGTAATTAATTTTGATGCACCTTTTGTTGTAATAACGATTTTCTTTGGGGTTTTCTTCAAATTTGTTCATTTATGATGAGACCTAACCAAGTATGTATACTCTATAAGTCTCCGATGATTTGCATTATGGTAGAGCGGGCGTTCTTTGTAGTACAAAAGGTGTGTTTTATAGAAAATTATAGCTGTTTTCGTTGAAATGATTCTTTATATGCTGACGGGAGGTATTGTTGTAGCGTATAATAGTAAGTGCCGAACTCCGTCTCTATACCACCATCTCTAGTAAACACAGATGAAATGAGCGCGGATATAAGATATGTATCGTTATAATTGAGTGGTCATAATGCTGAGAAATCGTCACGTCATGGCAGCCTACATTCGCCATGGTTGTAGTTATAATCAAACGCGGAGAGAATACCAACTAGCTGAACAACCGTGGCAAGGACGACCAGAACATTGGTGAGAGCAACCGAAAATATCAAATCTCCCAGGCTTGATTGATTATGGCATGCGCATCTATATTCACTTGTCAGTATGGGACTTAGTTCTTAGGTCGGAGTACTAACAGTATAAAGAAGTGCACCTAGAATGAGGAGCCCTCCTTCGCCTAGGTAATATGGCATGCCGGACTGTACCATCATTTGGGAAAAGCCATAGATGCTGATACCGTGGATCAGAGGCGCGAAGCCAGATAGTCCAGTACCCACAAAGTTGCAGACACGGAAGGTGCGCCAACGGGGTCCTTGAAACTTGGGGTTCACGAGGATCATTATTGTGATGCAGCTCAGTGAGATTATCTTTCGATATCTATTAGTTTTTTATGTACCACACCGTGCGGTAGGGAACACACCAAGCCCCAGTATATCCGTCGCAATAGAGGCTCGCAATAGAAGACCATGTAGATACCCGAGACGAAATCTCCCAGGGTCAGAACAATAATGCCAACAAAGTCGAGTCGTAACCACAATTCCGAGACTTGGAGGGAGTGAATCATTAATGTGTGATAGGTAGTCGACAGACCCAAACATATAACAGCAGTCAGGAGAAAGAAGGCAAAGATGGCGTGGTCGGATAACGTGGCTTCTGGGTATCTGACTTGAAGATACTGGTAAAACATGCCTTCTGATGCGAGGAAGAAGACGGCTGGAACTGGATGCGAATAGATGTTCACGGTTTCATTGTGCAGATACAACTAACTCGCGAAGCACGCATGGGTGGAATTGGAGACGGGTCGATAGCCATGCCGAATAAATTCATTGTCTTGAAACCACTCGGGGATGTCGTCGTAAGAGACAAGAATGGGGGTACCGTCATCGAAGAGGACTTTCTCTGGTGTTGCTGGTTCTTCCGCAATGGCTCCCGGGGGGAGAGGAGAAGGTTTCCGCTGGCGCGGGAGTGTTTCAGTTATTGATGGACTGTCCGCGAATGTCGCTGGCATATCACAAATTGTATCCTTTTTTAATCTTGAAGCAGAATGTACAAAGAAATGAGAATGGTTGAGCGGACTGGGTGAATACTGTGCTGGGTGGATAGTTTTCTTGGAGAGAAATCGAGCTGGGAAGACCCCGGCCGACTGAGGAGAAATCGAGCCTGTCACACCAGGCGCTGGGGGGAAGAGTTGGGTGAGGGGGTGCCTCCCAGGAGGGGCGCATGCAAGATGAGGCCGACGAGCCTATCACGGGCGGATGTGCACAGAAACCGACAGGGGCCCCCGGACGTAGTAGTGGTGCATGGCGTGTCTGGGGTTGCTGTTTCATATAGTAGATGTAGTATGGTACTCCGGCACGTACTGATGTCTAGCCTCACCCTCTCTCCTTCTTAGCCGAGCAGAGCTCGTCCATTCAATCGACGTATATACCGTTAGCGATAAGATTCAACCCTTCCCCCCCCCTCGCCCCGGTCCGAACGGCAACTGATTGAGATATCTTTAGTCGACAGACCTTCCCATATAACGCAGTTCCAGCTGTATTTAACCTTCTCCTTTCGGCTGATACCAAACAACTGATCCCCAGGTAGCCCATGTGCTTTGAAAGCCCAAGCCCAAGCTTAAACACCTAGTTGCACCATGCATTGACGCTCCATGGAGACTTGATGCGCGCCTAATTGTCCTAATCCTATGTATTGCGACCTTGTTATACGTCTCGATCCATCTCATTGGCTGGAATTCCGGCTTCCAAACAAAGGCGGAGCTCATCCTCTGGCGAGTATGCAGCATGTTTCTGTTCGGAAACACAGTTGCGTTCTGGGTCTTCGAGACGTCAGCTGCCTGGTGTCGGATAGGACGCTGGCAGCGCTTCTTCTGCAGGATCTTCTGGAAATCTAAGCTGGAAGACGTGGAGCAAGCGCGACTGACAAGGGAATCTGCCAAGGTCCCCAAAGCACTGCCACTGAAGGCCGAGTTCTGGAGTATATTCCCGCTTGCTTGCACGTATGCTGCTGCAAGGTTATATTTGATCGTGGAAGCTTTCGTTGGGCTAAGAGCTTTGGAAGTCAGTGCTTATCGTACTGTGGATTGGACGACGTTTTTGCCTCACCTCTGAAGACATAAAGTATGCTTTAGCTATGGATGTGTACCATTTGACTCTCCATTTTCGGCTAGTCAATGGGGTGTACCCATTTTCTTTCTTTTGTTCAACTTATATTTCATTTTATCTTTCGTCTTATCTTCATAATGGCTTGTCTCAGTAACCAGTCATGTCAGTTTATCGTGTTCTAGTCGAGATTGTGGTGACATCCAGCCAAATGAAGCTTCGAACCGCGCGACCGCATGCGGTTAGCGCAGAGAGGCCCAGACCTACCTACCTTCCATCCTTACTAATCAGAATATTATCGTCCTATTAAACTCCATAAGCTGTCATAATCATCAGTAGCAATCGATAAGACACAAACAAACAAAAAAACAACATTAACGACTTCGGTGGCGTCAACAAATCCCGAACTGGCATCTTCAACTTGGGAAAATCTGAGGTGTAAAATCGGTCCGACCGCAATTTAGGCCCGCGCGGCATTGCACGGCAGCAGAGAAACAGAGCACGACATGTTTGACCGAGATTCGTCTCGGTTATGCAGGTGCGGCCATGGAGGGGGTGACCTGCATGCATGCAGGGATGTCCCGGGAACTGTCGGCCTATCGCGGTTCATGGTTGAATATCAAATTAGCCGCTGCAAGAGCGGCTTTGTTATCGTCGGCCCGAAGTTGGCTATTCCAACTCCGGCGGGGTTGTGCCAGGTGGCTTGGGAGCCGAGTATTAGCAAGTGCGAGTCATGATGTGCATATTGGGATGATTGGCTGTTTTAGGGGTTGTGAAAGGTTGTGTCGTGCGACCGTGTGCGGAACGTGGTGCCAGTGGTGGTGCTGGTAGTAATCTGGGTGAGTCATTCGGGTTATCTGGAGATGGAATGGGGGAACACAAAAGAAACACTACATTTGAGGAGGAAGATAGATGTCACTGACAAAATAGATTCTGAAATCTAATCTATGGTCTTCTATACTCTAATTGGTATCCATTGCTAAGCAAAAGCAAAGCACGCTATAACTCCAAGCCCAGACAAGTAAACAAAGGAAATAGTGACAGGCACACATTACTTCCGAACATCGTGGTCGTTGAAGCCCGCTTCAAGAACATGATAGGGGAAGGTACATCGAGGTAGGAAAGAGTGAAGGAGATAGTAATATGGACTTCACGACCAGAAGCCGGCGTCAGGTCAAGGCTCTCGACCGGATGAGAGCGCGCCAGTCTCGAAGGGACTGGCGGGATGAATAGGACTGACAAGAAACTCTGACGGGCAGTCTGGGTGACGGTGAAGCACCATGAATATGGGCGCGGGCACCCGAAATGGCGTGATTACCACAAGCAGAGATGGATATCATCATACTATGGGTAGTAGAGGTTGGTGGCGAAACCGATAAGCACTAGCAGTGGGAGGTTTATACCGAGAGACGAGCAGACGGAAGAACGGGACGGGCTTCAAGTGACAACGGTAACTCTAGACTGAGCTAGATGCACGTTGTTCTTGCGAGGGAAAAGCTTCTCCAAGCACTTGCGACCCTTGTCGAGCAGACTCGATTTCTCGCTGGGTTTGGGTGACACCGTCACCCGTGGGGCCGCAGCGGACTTGGAGCTGCTGCGGGACGATCGGCGCGACGGTGGCGGCGGGAGGACTTCGTGATCAAGGAGCTCCTCGTCGCTGTCATCGTCCATGGCCATGCCCATGGAGCGGATGTGGACGCGAATGTCTCGCTTGACCATAGCCATGGACTTGGCGTGGATGTGGGCATGACTGAGGCAGCGACGGAGATCGGGTTCTTTGGCACTGCTTTCCTGGTCATATTTCTCGCCGGAGAGCAGGCTGAGACGGAGATGCAATGAGGTTCTTTCCAATGGAGAGGGTCGTCTAGTACGAGGCGCGGGGGAAGGTGATCTGGAAAAGCGGGAGGAGGAAGTGTAGGACATTGTATGGTCTAGCGTAGTTCTGTTTTGCCTCTCTGCTGCGTATGCTAATGGAGGGGCAGATGCAGAGTCCCGCACCCGAGATGGGAGAGGGAAGGGCGAAAGAATCGAAAGGTCCGGAGAGAAGAAGGAGCTTTGGCTTTTGCTTGTCTGGATGCCAAAAGAATTCTCTCCGAGCTGGTCGGGGAAGGTCTATATACATTTTGACAGGGTGGAGGATGAGCAAGCTTGATAACCGCCAGGTCATGGGACAGGAAAACCTGGTGGGCGAACGCTCTAGAACTCGGTCTGCCAAAGCCAAATCGGCGTTGCGGTGGATCGCCCGGTGGAGACCGACTGTTCCAGCCCGCAATTCAGGCCGACAAACACAGCCCAATCGCGGGTCCCTCCTGGCGAACCTGCTCTTCTCTGCTGTTCCTGAGACGCGTCTGATGATGCAGTCAACCTGGAGCCAATGGGCTGCGTGTGAACAATGCATCTGGACTCGAAACAATCATAATCACGTCAAATATTATACATTTTGAAACAAAAATTCAGAATTGTAAAAGGGACCGCATCAGCCATTGAATCATCACGAAGGAGCGCCTATGTTCCAGAAGCCCATCCAGACAGTCCGTGCACGGGCACGTGGGACTGATAAGCTCGTCGGCTTTTTCTTTTTGAGTAGCTTTTCTATTTTAGATTTTCTGTGTCCGTTTTTGTTTTTTTTGTCCGTGGTCTTTTTTTTCTATTCTCGGAAACTTAGTGGAGTTTTCTGTCACCGTCTCAGTCTCTCGACTCGCTTGTCACAGGCACACTCAGAGTCACATTCATCCATTCATTGATTGATTTTCATGGTTCCCTCCACTTTTCTCCCCCAGTCTGGATTGTCGAAGATCACTCTGGTGACACATCCAATTCGTACCATCACAGCCTCCACGACATGCTCTGTACATAGAAACATCGTACGTACCCTGGTGGCGATCCTTCCCACCAGAGCCGGTGCTATCCGCAGATCCCATCACGTCTGTGGCAAATGCGACCGCCGGCTTATCTTGCGTGATAAGACGCTAACTAACGTGGGCGATCCTGTTGACCAGGAACTCCCGTCATAGGGCCCTGATAATCCTTGTCTCCTGTCTATCACGATCGATTTCATAGAACGGTCGCAGACCTGTCGCTTACCCTTCGGGTTGCTTTGTGACTGACTATTAGCAATGTCAATGCTTCTGTGCTCTGCATATGCACTCCACTCTTTTACATCACATGAATGTCACCAATGAGGGATTTCCATCGAGGTTATCTCTGGACAAATATCCTGATTAAGGGGAAATGTTATCCAATTACTAGCTACCCACCATCTGCAATAGATGCTGTCGCGGGCAGAGGTCATAGCTCCAATTTTGGGCATTCATGACCTTTTTCAAAACTATAGCTAATATTTTCATGCAAGTTTCAAGCTAACACAACCCTCATCAATTCATCTCCGTGCACCACCACCACCCTGTCTTCGATTCCTAGTTCCTACAGCGGCACAAAGTTCCCATCGCGGTCATTTTGCGCGCCAACGCGCCCGGACCATGGTCGCAAAAGGGGCGAAAAGTCAGTCAGCGCAACAAAGCCAGGGCCAACCAGCCGAGAAAAAAAGGTGGTGGCTGGGAGGGGAAGAGGAGTGTTAAAGGCAATAGTGCGCGAAATTCCAAGAAATGTTTGTTTGGCATTTTCTGTTCTAGTCTTTAGCTCTCTTGCCCCTCTCTGTCCCTCTCTTTCTCACTCACTCTCTCTCCTATTCTTCCGCGCCCCTCCCCGGTCTAGCCAGGAGATTAAACTCCTTAGGTTTTTGATCCCACAAAATTTTTCTCAGCGAGGTACTAGTTTCACTGTCTTACCATTGGCTCGTACACTATCTCCTATCCGGTGTCCTGGAAATGCGCCACTGCTGCCGTGGATGATTACCAGTCGGACCCCTCGGGTACGAAAACTTTATCGGACGTACATACTGGATGAGGTGTATGTTTGCCATAACCACCCACTGCACAGGCACTTCACATTCAGCAACACTCAAGCTCTTACGGTCCATTGACTGGTCTAGAATTTCCCTATGATTGCTGATAAGCTTCAGTCTGCAGCAGTGTCTAAAGAAGTTTTTGCGACGCTGATAGGCTTGCCGGCCCCACGTGCCTAGACCAACCGCCGCGGAAGAGGTCAATCACCAGGCATACCGTCAATGAAATGGCATGGCTTCGGGATTTGACCATGTCGCACAAATGGGAGGATGACACGATCGGGGATTGACCGCCGAAATTAACGGTGTGGGCTACGACTCAGTCATATGGCGCAATATCTCCCAGGCCTCCAAGTGGATTCCCTGAAGGATTGCCGGCTAGTCTTTGATAAAGGAAGATTTTGATCATCGCAAGCCTCCTAAAGGGGCTGATAGTCAACGAGCGCATTGGATCTCGGTCATCATTGCACTTTTGTGTCAGCTTACCGAAATATGTCGGCTAAGTGTTGCGACGCTGCTGGTTTCCTTCTAAGAAACTAACCACAGTGATATCCTGCATTGATGCCAAAGTTCAATTGATTGTGGCGGGATTGATCCATGTGACCATCAATTGACCCCTCCAGCAGTGGAGACTTTGGTAGTGTCTCGTCATCAAGGAGGGTAGCAACTTCAATAGACTGGCGGGTCTTGGAGATGATCCTCCCTAATATGCATGTTCATGCTGCCATCCCTGTTTTCCAACCTGCCTGGGCATCACCCAGACTTGCGGATCTTTTCCGGTCGCTGTCCTCGGCAATTAAATTCTGCTTGAATCCGATGATGCAATCTGTCGCTTGTGCGGCGTGTTGGTGAGTATAGATCTTCTGCCATCTGGCAAGCTCGGCTCTTTTGTATGTAGTCATGCGCGGATGGCGCCCATTTTATGGCATTTACTGATAACCCATGTCCTCAATTCTGACCTGGTGATATACGGTCGCTTGTCATCTAAGCACTCGCCAATGGGAATGGAATGAGCGTAATCTCAATCTATTGAGACCCAGAGGCAACCATCTGAGGTTATATTCAGGGTGTAGCAGAAAATGGATGTCCAACGAGGTACAGCTGATGGCTTGTCCTAGCCACATATATTTTACGCAATATGGCAGCTTGAATGAATTGTTTCTGTTCCCTTTTTTATAAGAGGAGCAGAGTACGGTGTAGGGCGAAAATTAGGGACGGCGCGACTGCGATTGTGCGTTTCGTCTAATGGTTTTTTTTTTACTAGGTGCAGTCCCTGGTCCCGATCGGCCTATAACTAAACGGCTCGGCAGCAGCCGTCCGACAAACTAGCCGGCTCTCTCTCCGTCCCCACCTCAATTATCTTTCCTTTCTGCATTCTTCTGGCTGGATTCATACCACGGTCGCTAAGCTATGTGGGGCCTGATCAAAGAATACTATGATGATACAACGGTGCTCAAATCCTCAGCTACAGATCTTCCATCGGCAATCTCAGAATGTTCTACCGCTCAATCTGGTCTATAAACAAATGAGGTCATCGCTCGGCCTCTCCTGCATTGAAGGCAAATAAAGATGACAAGCTTTGCTCTCTGAAATGAATCAGAGGGGCAACCACCCACCCAGTTGGCATCAATCAGACTTCTATCTGTGCTAATAGGCTACGCTCTAGTTTATCGATGGCCGCAATGCAAAGCTCGGTTGATAAAGTTACACAGCAGAGTATTTATTCACTTGGACGCAAGGGTCGGCCACGTACAGAGAGAGTCATGTGAGCGGAGAAGGTTCACAAAGTTCAACTGGAAAGACCAATAAAGGCTCCAGCTTGAAAGATCCAGCTTCTCCTGTGTTCGAAGCAAAGATGGCTAATCCAGGGAAAGGGCGGGCTTCGAGAGATTGATTTTGAGGCAAATGATCGGTTGCTTCGCCGGCTTTGCCCTATTTTTCTTGGGGAAGCTCATGCTGGCCTCTGTCTGGTCTGGTAGACTGATGTCGAGCCTCATAGTGCTTATTGTCGGACAATAAACCTACAAATAGTCTTTGTACTGACCCAGTCCAGCAACAACATCTGGTCAGATCATGCAGTGTTCGCATCGCTGCGGACAATGCCCACACCGCCCCGACCGAGCATTTCCTTCTACCTACCATCTTCGTCTTCCTTGTTCTCCCGTTTGCTCTGGATGAAATCTTCTCCGCAAGAATCAACCAACAATCACCTAAAGAGAACAACACGCTCATTCGCCGCAGCTGTTGCATTTGTATCAACTAGATATACACCATACACCCCAGCCCGAGGTGACCATGGCAATAGCTGGGCTGCTTCTTCACGCTGCTTCTTCACGCTGCTTCATCAGCTGCAAAGTAGCAGCCAATAAGAGGCTTATGCTGGGAGTTAAACTACAATGATCTCCTTTGCATATAGCGGCGCCCTCTTAGAAGGCCGACAACGCAGCATGTGCGATCCTCTTTTTTGATCACTGACAACACCTTGGTTGTTTCCAAGACCAATAGGCGACTTCTGATGTTCAGGACAGCAAGCTCTATTAACAGCATGATCACTATTACAATATGGTGCTGTGGTACTCGGTATTCCATCTTTGCTCCTCAACAATTTTTGCTCAAGGTGTTGACCATGGCTTTCCCCTCAGATAACGATGCTTCTTCAATACGCCCCCTGTCCGCAAATCACATACCTGGACCGAATACTGTAGAAACAGAGAAACACTCAGCTGCTCAGGATTCTGCTCCTCCGCCCCCTCCTGCACCCGATGGAGGCATCGTTGCCTGGGTACAGGTAGTTGGCGCTTCCCTCCTTTTCTTCAACTCCTGGTCGGTCTTGCTGGATCATCTCTGTGCAGTCCCGTTTATTGACCCCAAGGACTACAGGGGCATAATCAATACATTCGGCGTTTATCAGAGCTACTATGAAACCAGACTGCTCAAAGATTACTCCCCATCCTCTATAGCCTGGATCGGAACAGTCCAAAGTTTCCTCTTACTTTCACTGGGACCTGTCGTTGGTCCGATTTTTGATAGAGGATATACCAAGTCTTTGATAATAGCAGGCACGTTCCTGGTCGTGTTTGGACTGATGATGACCTCGTTATCCAAGGAGTACTACCAATTCTTTCTGGCTCATGGCGTCGCCGTGGGCATCGGCTCTGGCCTTCTCTTCATCCCTAGCCTTGCCATACCCGTCACATATTTTACCTCCCGACGAGCCTTGGCCGTTGGAGTTGCTGCGTCAGGAGGCAGCGTCGGTAAGTCCGGTCTTAACGATTTCATCGAATTATGCTCACTTGAAACTCGCATGCCAGGCGCTGTGATTTTTCCCATCGTGTTTCACAAACTAATCGACCGCGTCGGATTTGGCTGGACAACCCGTATAATTGCTTTCATTGCCTTAGCTGGCCTCCTCTTCTCCATAGCGGTGATGAAGTCACACCTTCCTCCCCTTGAAAAAGCTCGGCGGCTCCTTGATCTTACGGCCTTCCGTCAAGTTCCTTTCGTTATCTACTGCCTCGCGCTTTTCTTCGACCTTGTGGGCCTCTACTTTCCCTACTTCTATCTCCCGACCTATTTCACAATCTATCTCCACGCAGGCGATAACATATCCTTCTACGTCCTATCCATTCTCAGTGCCTCTTCTTTCTTCGGTCGGATTGCACCCAACCTGCTCGCTGATCGTCTGGGATCGCTGAATGTCATGATTATCGTGAGTCTTGTGGTCACTATCATGGCATTCGCATGGATGGGTATACACAGTAACGCTGGCGCCATCGTCTTTGCTGTTATCTATGGCTTCCCATCCGGAACGATTGTGGCCCTGATGTCTCCGGTTCTGGCGGGATTGTGTCCGGACATGGCACTCATGGGGACGTGGTTGGGCATGGCTTCTGTGTTTTCGGGTCTTGGCATTCTCATTGGCAACCCTATTGCCGGAGCGTTGTTGGATCTGGAACATGCTGTTTTCTGGAAGGGGCAGCTGTTTGCGGCTGTTACGGTAGGAGCTGGAATGGTATTTTTTGTGGCGTTGAGGCTGTGGCAGTGGAAGGACGGTGCAGGGTGGAAGGTCTGACCGGAAACCAATGAGTGTTTCATTTGTGATTTAAATGAGAGCGATTGATAGCACAACTATGTACGGAGTGCTATGTGCTAAACTGCTCTATTATAAACTACGTACATGCATGTGAACTCCAAGCTATTGGCATCAATTAGAAAGACGGACCCTGCAATTACATAAAATCAGAAAACTGACTAACCAACCCACACAGAGGTGATACGATGAGCTTGCTAGTCGGGTGGCTGGTTGACCCAGAAGTAACTATAGAAAGAGTTCTTGCTCGGCTTGCGCAGCACACACGGAGCGACATCATAACTTACTTGAAGAATATTGGAATAGTTCTATTTCTTACGGGAGATATTATACTGAGATACAATCTGATTTTTTTTATTTCCTGACAATTCAATCATAATTTGAATTATAAAGGCCCGGACTGTCTTTCTGAAAAGCTCTTTATGAAGACTATCTGTAACTAGTATAAATCTCTGTAAGATATAACTCTACCAGTTTCATAATCTACCAAATCCCCGTATACTTACATAGAGGTTCAAATATCTAAATTAATAAATTCTAAAATAAGACAGGCTTGTTCGCATAATTGATTAATTTAAACTTAAAGCTATGAATACATAGGCTTCAGGGCTATAAGAAATAATCACTGAAAATATTGAATAGAAGAAATTGAATAAAAGTCAGCAGGAAAGAATAAGTATCTAGAAAGATAAAGTATGTTTAAAGTGGAATCTCGGTTTGAGGAAACGACGCCCGGAACGGCCGCGCATCTCTACCATCCGAGCTACTTTCAGAGGTGGGATCTCGAGCTACGATCGGATCGACCATCAACCTACCATGGATGGTATACGAATTGGTATATGAAGGACAGAATATATAACGACACTCCCTGGTGGCTGGATGGTGTAGTGGTAATCACTCCGGAAAATAGTGTTACAAAATATCCAAAAAAGGGTTCTTCTTATCCATGCTAGATACCAAAGTGTGGTAAATTCGTTTTCTGTAACTTTTATGTTATAGATATTAATAGAAAATAAGAGACTAAATATATATCTAATCTTAGAAAAGAGAATATATCTAATACATACCAAGGCATATTATAGAATATGTTGGAACAGATACCAAGTAGACCAAAAGAGAAATCCCTCTCCGGTTACTGGTATTGTCCTGGTTTTATGTTCTGACAGAATATATTTCTTATTTATATCTCTCTTCTTCACTGGTTCTATGGTAAGTATAATAAGAAACTCTGAGATCTTTTTTAATATGATTTTTTTATTGACTTCTATATCTATACAGGAAGACTGATAAACCGGAGTTATTATATGAAGGCTAAGAAACCAGGCTGTAGTATGAAAGATAATATTATAATCCTTATATAGATTTTATATACTGATGTACAGCCTGTATTCAGTCAAGAATATCAAAATGCTAGTGAGTGCTATGAGACTGTCTTAGGTAATCTTCTTAGCTGTGAGTAATTCAGCAAAGTGCCAATAGCTGCACTAAATTTGAAGACAATAAGTTACTACTACTACTACTACTACTACTACTACTACTACTACTACTACTACTACTACTAATGACACTCCCTCATGTACTTGGCTAGTTTGTTCTTCGTGCTCAATAACACTGTCTTTAAGTAACTATACGCTTGGAGGCTTAGCTACAGAACACTTGTCCGTGCCTACTTAACGAATAGCTGCGCGGCACTATTCGGCCTTACTTTTCTTTTTTGTCCAAGACCAGTTACTCTTCAGATAGTCCTTAGTCTGATACCTCCTCGACCCAATTCGACGGTACGTATATCAGTGAAGCTAAGCTAACAAGGGACAGGGAAGCGATCCTAGGGTTTGACATACAGCCCCAGATCAGCTCAGAAAAATTCTCTCTGGTCTCTCGCATCTTCATTCTCACCCCACATCAAGTCCCATTCTCTTGCCAATACTTCCTTTGCACCGGTGCGCTCCAACCGGGCCGCATCCCACATAACATACCCCCAACTTTGGATTTCATCAGGTATGTAGCTTCCTAACATATTGCTGTATGTTCCTTTCCACAGAAGTGTCCATGCTAATGGCGGGTAAACTCCGTCCACCCTGTCGCCCCGGAAAGGCAACGGCTCTCTTCGCTCCTCCTTCTTATCTCGCTCAGAAGGTGCCCTAGCGCGGCGTCCACTTTGTGCCGCGTGGGTGAACGCGCCGTGTACATCTCCTTCGAGGAACTCCTCGAGCCAAAGAACCAAAGTCTGCTCCATTACATTGACCAACTCCGAGTGCTCCTGAATCTTAAAGAAGAGAGTATGCAAACGCTCGAGGCCTTGTGTAATAGTCCCGTTCAAATAAGCACGGCTGTGCTCTATTTGCGGGTTGTCTGCCAGTTAGCTAGGATCATACAGCAGAAGAACGTAAAAGTTGCATATCAAGAGGCTTACTGACGTGGTATATTCACTGCCCCTTCCGGAGTGGGCGGTCTTTCCTGGTCATCAAACCGTGGATTCTTTTCACTGAAATCCCAGGTCACAGCATCATGAATTTCACGACATTTTGTTTCCGCAAAGACATAGATGCAGTTGATCTCCTCCAGTTCCCATGGTTCCCATAAATCTTCCAAAAGCTTTAGAATCTCGCTATCACTGAGTTGGAAATCTATCCTGAAAAGATCAAGCTCGTCCTTGTTAGGTCCCACGCCGAATACGTTGCTGCACAATTGAAAGCGATACAGAGCGCGGATTATTCTGTGTTCTTCCGATTCACTCAGGGCCTCGTCAATCTTAGTATGTGCTTCCGACTCTATGGCTAAATTGCGTAATGCCCACACAAAATAGTGCTCTGTGAGAGGTTTCAAGACCGAGTGATAAAAGAATACCATATCTACGGCATCTTTCAATTCGAGTCCTGCCGTTAGATCTGAGTGACGTGCCGAAAAGCGCCGCTTTGTGAGAGACCCGAAAAAATCATGGATTCTATCGTGGTTGCGTGTCTGCGAGAAGCTCACTGAGCTAGTCTCCTGGACAATACAAGCTTCAAAGAAAATGCTGCCTAGTGTGGTGGCTAGGCACTTGAGGAGAAGGCGCCTGCGATCCAGAAGATACTGATCATGATAAACGGGTGATGCTTGAACCAGCGACTTAAGTCCTTCCAAATCGAGTAGAAAGAGAATTTGGACTCTAATCTCTGGGGGCAGGGTCTCAAGATCTATATGTGAGTTCGAACGGACGAGGTCAACCGTCATTGAACTTTCAAGAGTCTGATGATCGGCCAAGGATGAAGCCATGAGAGGACTGCTGATGCAAGTAAATCTTAAAGAGGCAAAGGGTAGTCTCGAGAAATAGAAGGAAATTCTAGTATCTAGTATAGTTTCTAAGAAGTTGTTTGAAGGCGAGGAGATCCTCGAGTTCCTGACAAGCAGCCTGATCTTCCCCGGCGCCTATTATGATGACATAAGCAGCACGACGGACGCGGGGCTATTTGCCCTGAGTGTTTCGTTAAACGCCAGGAACAGCTGCAAAGACTCTTTCACTACTCCGCCCTGGGGGCTTGGATTTTCTGATGACTGAAATAGATCTCTAGTTGGTTGAAAGAGCTTTACCAATCTATAACGCTTTCTGTAAGTTGACGGTATAGTCGTTTCAAACTATGTGCATTTTATGTGGAATACAGCTGCTGTCATCCTATAGATTTATCTACATGCGCAGACCACACAGAGATCGCCACGACTTGCATGGCAGTAGTTCATCCGGTGGAACTAACGAAAATTACGGGCGGCTATTCCAGGATTAACAAGTCAGTGTCAACCAATGGCTCTTGTTGAGTAGATATCCAATTCCGCGAAAATCGATTCACTCTTAGCGCCATGAAGCATGCTGTCGAGAATATAGGCGGCACCAAGTGTGATGGAATGTAGTCCAATCGTTGATGCTCATATGCCTGGAGTGACCACTATGCGCCGCCGCAGGGTAATGCATGCATGACTACAGATATTAACACAATGATACAAACTACCGATACGCCGCGTAATGCTCCTAAGCGCGTGTATAACAAAAATAAACCTTCATACTGACCAGTTAGTGCTCAACCATCGAGGGTATCCGGTGTTTGACTTAGCGCGCAGCCTTCTCTCTTGCTGCTTGGCTGGACATGAGCCTGGCCTTCACATGTTACATTGCTCTCTTGGAAGTGCCATATAAGTATGAGCAGGGAGTCGAGGGTGTAGCAACCTTCAATTCATCAGTATTCACTTCACTTTTATATCCTCGATCTTTCCAAACATCCAATTTCGTTGGTCACATATACTATCTCATACCTGTCACTTTTCATACTACCTCAAGTCTACTATAGTCCATTCCCCTTTCATCCTTTCCACCCCAATCATCTTCTCATTCGAAACTTCCTTCAACTTACCCCTCTCAAATATATATATATAGTAGCCGTTTCCCTTTCACCAATATGCCGAAACCTCCTCGCCGAATCCACTCAAATGTCTCACTCGGACCATACGAGGAGTCTGACCCAGAGAACATAGTCCTCAGGCCACTGAACAATCTGCATGATGTCGTCCGTCAGATGGTATATGAAGTACGCAATCATGAATCTACCATCGCTTCGCTCATAACATGGGCCGAAACGATTGACCCAAACACGTATCGCAAACAAGTCCCCTGGCCCAGGGAGCTTGTTGAGGCCTTCGATAGATACAAGCATCTTGTTGATATGATTGGTCCACGATTGACCGCGTTCAAGGAATATGAAAATCGTACAAACAAGCCTACGAAGGTGAGGAATTCACCGGAAGTTAGGATGAAACGTTTTGAACTGGCCATCGAATGGGGTAGAGCTGCAATGAGGTACGAGACACCTTTTCATAACAACATCTCTCTCCTTACACCCCATATTTCTCCTCATGTTTGAGACTCAATCGTTGGGTGTGGCTATTTCTTCTGGCTAATACGCCTATGCATGCATAGCGCAGCTGAGGGACGGATTCATGTCCTCGTTACCTACCGGAATGCGTACGACAATAAGCGGTCTATCCAAACCCATATCCAGCAGGCAAGTGACACTTTGCAAAGCGCCAGAGCCGCAGTGGATGCCGCAGGCGACAATTACCGTGGTAAGCATGCTTCTCCCAGGACAGCCGAGGACGTTGCCATGACTAACTTAGCTGTCTGAATAGCATACTGGCGGGGCATGGCCGCTGGGAAGCCTCGTAGCTCTGTTCTGACAAGCGACACGTTTAGTGATGGTTCAGACTAGTTGCCCCCTACTCATATTGCATTCGATGGTCTATGTCTGTACTTTTGGACCTCACATTAACCTGCTCTGTACGACTAGTCGACTTGGTCACTTCTCGTTTATCCTTTTGTCTAATGCTTAGTTTTGTGCTTTATTTCGGTTCAAATTGTTACATGCTCGTCATTATCTCGCATTTGTGATCTAGTCATTTTTTATCCAAGCCAATTCCTACTAGACTGTATCCAGTGTTTCGTGGGCTCAATAAGTAGAAATAAAGTATACCGATTCGCGCTCCTAGCTGCTCGTATTCCAATGACCTTAGCTACGACGGAAATCACAAGGTATATAGTCATCGGGAAGTATGCAACTTCGTACTGGGTGTTACATATGGCCAGGGAAACACTGAGCTGAAGATGAGCAAGATAGGAAGTTGTTTGACCTTCAATTACATAACATCATTAAACCGTAATAGATCCAGCCACTCGTCTACTCCGACTTCAGGCTCTGACGCAACTCCTCGCGCTGGACGGCTCCAAAGCGCAGGTTACCGACATCGAAGATCTGCAATCCAGTTAGTGAGTTTCAATAACGTCAGCAGCGAACGGATACACTTACAGCGTAAATACTCTTCAAAAAGGTATCTCCCAAGATATCCATGGTCATATCACCACGACTCTGGATTCCTCCATATACATAGCCCGTCTTCGCCTCCGAAAAGGCCAAGTCCTCCTTCTGTACCACAAACTGCTTCTCGCCCACGGCGAAGGACACAGTGGGTAGATTATCCTGCGCAGTATCGGTCGGGTAGATCCAGCCCTGGACTTCCTGATCGTAATACGCGCCGTCAATTGCGCTATAGATCGCCTCACACGTGTCATCGTCCACCAACGCCAGCGTGGTGCCAGTATCGGCAATGGCGGTGTTACCCGACCGGTTAATGGTCTTTCCATTGACCGTTGCAGAAGTCGAATTGAAGAGCCAGAAGCCTTGGCTGTTATCGACAGGGGTGTAGTAGACCTCTTCGCCTGCTGTCTTCACCAAATCCTGATCAATGAAGCCAAAGGTGTAGAATGACTCGTCATCAGTGTCCCGCCAGGTATCCAACTTAGCCGTAAACAGCTCAGCGGACTTGGGAATATCATCCTGCAGAATCATGTTCTCGACGAGCGTTTTCACAGACTTTGGCTGCACAGTGTTGATGTTGCTGAATGCTAGACCGAGCAATCCGTCCCCTTCGCCTTGGGCGAATGTGGTGGACATCTTCTCCGCCAGCTCGACGGCTTGGTTCTTGACTACTACGCCGCCGATGTTGACGTCGTCGGTGCCGACACTCCCTGATGCGGAGGATCCATCTCCGTAGGAGATTTGCCAAGATTCACCTTCCAGGGTCTTGAAGGTGCTCGATTTGGACGAGTCGAAGATAGCATGGGTATTGTTCTCGGATAGAAGGGTTGAGGGGAGTTTGTTCGACCAGACCTACATCTGTCAGTACGATGATTCTCATATAGGTCTTTCATGATGGAAATGTACCCAGAGATCAGCTGAACCAGTGTCAAAGTCCAACTTCAGGTTCTGCGCCGGGGTTCCGATACCCACGGTCGCCAGGTACATGGAGTCGTTCTGCACATCTTCGGCCGGGACCTCGCCAACCTCATCGCTGGTCGTGCTCTTCTTCCGCACCAGCTGGCGAACATGAGCCCGACCCCCGATGGGCTTGTCAGTGTACGGACGGCCGGTCTGTTGAATGGAGCTGCTGAGGGTGTAGGGACCAGGCTTGGTGGGTTGGAAGCGGTACTTCCGGATCAAGTGCACGTAGGACTTGGTGCCTGAGCGCTTATAGTTGAGGTTAGGGATGAGCTTGATTTTGGTAGCCATGATGGATAATTATTGATCAGAGTAGAAGACAATTGGTATGGAAGAAAGTGAGTATGAGATGAAGAGAAAATGACGAGGGAGAAAGAGAGAAAGCAGCGGCCTTTTAAACCGACCATCTATCTAGCAGCTAACTAACTACTAGCTGCCTAGTCAACTAGTAAGTGACCCAAGATTGAGACGTCACTCTCTCCCCTCCCGTCCAGCGTAGCGGCATGCATCCACTGACAGTCTCGGCAGCCGACCCTTTCAGCTGGCCCTGGAATCTTGCCCGCAGTCGGGTGATGCGAATTGATTGAATGATTGGTTTCAGCTGATCGCGAGATCGGCGCCGATGACGCGATAAGCCCATGACTTATCTTATCGTGGAGGCCCAGAACCGGGACATTCGTCGCACTATTCAGGCCGAGTTGTGTTAGGGCCAGTTAGTGGCGTGGTGCGACGGGCCTGTCATCTTGTCCCGTTGGTCTTTCAAGCTCCGGTGATCGTCAAGCTTGGCGTCTCCTCCCCGAATTGCTTCAGGTCAGCCACTATCAGTGGCCCCCGTGTTATTGGTGGAATTGCTTATCATCATTACGCAGGTGTTCTTCATGATGTGATGTGATTTATTTTGTTAGTTTCGTTTATTATTGGTGTCGTGTGTGTCATCGCCACTTTCTCTCTCTCTTCTCCCTTCCCCATGATGGCACTGAGATTCTGTGCCCTTATTTTGTTTCTCCTCCCGGGCGGCCCGACCCTAACCGGGTGGCTCTGTCTCCATCTTCTGTTTTTTAATAGCATATTCTTACACAACTCCTGAGGGACAAAGAGAGAGCTACAATGTACAATTGAGTGATTTCTAGTCACTTGGTATATCTACACCGATGTCATATTCTACGTGCAGCTAGTTTCGACCTCCCCGATGCAGACTCCAGAAGTTGCAGGATGCGGAGTAGCAGGCCTCAGAAATGCCTCATGGCTCACAACAATTCAAAGCATCAGTGAATTCTTTATGAGACTGCTCTAAATGAATGATGTCACCAATTCAGACAATGAGGGGATATAGCTGTGATGTGTTTACGATGCAAAGATGCCTATGTAACTAGTCATAATTGCACGCAAACCATGGCAGGAATCACCTCATGGAGTTTACTTTTTTATCTTTCCGGTGCGGTAAGCAGCTTACTACTAATTCTGCCACGTCCAGACAGGATCATCATAAATATTATCACTGTGCGACCAAATGGGTTACTGTTATACCCCAAAATCTGCTCAGACGAAAGAAGTCAATGAATTTACGATGACTCAATCTATAGCATTGTCATTATTATTATTATTTTTTTGGTCCTTACATAGTACACATTTTCAATGAGGGCGCAGAGGCGTAAGAACTTTAATCATGTAAGAACCTTAACAGTGATCAGACCAGCTGACCGCTCATTGGAACGGACATGACATGTCCCTTGAGGTATTCCTCTTCTAAAGCTAGACCGTGCATGAGATCGCACATGGTGCAGTACCACGGGTTTTGTGTTACTTGATCTATCGATACGCGAGAGAGCCGTACTTCTGTATTCATCTCTAACAAATGCATCGATATCACAGTATTCAGCTACACATACTAGATATCTCTTGAGGATATCCTAACCGCTTCAGCCCCTCAACCCACGCATTCAGAATCCACTCCCATCTCCACACTCACAAGAAAAGAAGAGAAATAAAGCTCATCTTAGCTTCGCCACAAGGCTACTAGACTCCAGCACCACGATAGATATGGTTGCAGCCGGCGGTTACTGTCATCTGTCAGGGCTCGGATAATGTAATCTATAGGCAATATTCGGGTAGCTCGTTGATCTGCATGTCTTGCTTTGATACCAGAATCAGTTCATTGTCTCTATCTATTCTTATTTTTCATGACCCGTGCAGAAAAGATAAAATGATTAACTTACTGCTTCAATTATCATGTATATTCCAAGATGATACTTATAAGATATACATTTTGAACCAGGCTGGCCTGGCACAAATTAACCATCTTTCTTGTTGAGATATATTGAGGTCCTATAATTTAGCGTTGGCAGATCATTTAGGACGGTTTTAATGACGATATCTCAAAGCCCGCGATCAGTCTTAATCGTTGGACAGTAGACCTTGTTTATAGTTAAACAGAAAAACAGTCTGTTAGCGAGAAAGGCTTGCTCTGGGCCACTGTTGCGGGGTCTGAAGGGCGAGGGGATTCACGACGCCTTGCATTCGTCACAGTAATTATGGTTGCAGTCCAATCGATTCACCTTATGAGCGAAGAAACTCTCATAGCACACACAGCATCGAGTTTCCGTGGCGGCGGACTTCTCCAATTCCAAGGCCTGTCTTTCTCTGTATGTCTACTCTGGTGAGGATGAAACCTTGTACGACGACCTGAACCTGGACAACGAGGCAGAGGTGCAGTTCGGCATGACAGGGGACAAGGACATTCTACGAGTCGCCTTCGGCAGGCTATTCAGCCAAGAGGAAGATCTTGCAACGAATAATCCATCTCGCCTCGTCCTGGACAAGGAAAGATACAATATATGCTGTTCTTGTGGATTGATGAGGAGGTATGTGCGGATCCTCAGGCCTGGTACAGTCATTTCGATGAGGCTGCTGGCAGACACTCAGTCGCCGGTCTCCGATACTAGAAAGTCCGCTGAGCTCCAGCTTCTACGCCTTTATCCCAACGAGACTTTCCCCCTATCACTTGCGGCCATAGCCTCTCACGATTCCGTTCCTACCAAGTGGCGCTGCGGTGAATGAGGCCAGCAGCTCAAAAGAAGCTGACTCGAAAGGCAGCAAGGCCAAGAACAGCACCTTGTCTAAGACTACCCCCCCAGTAGCGTTTGGCGGAGGGCAGCTACTTAATTTTGCCGCACGACACTGATTATGTTTTCCGTCAACCTAACTCAAAGCGGATTTGTCCACGTGCTCGATGCCGAACAATTTTGTTGGCTCCCACACCCGACCACAACTAACAAACCATCAGCATCGGCGCCCTCGGCTTTCTCCCCTCGGCCCTAACCGCCAAAGAAGGCATCCTCAACCTCGGCCTGCACGACCAAATCCTCCTACTCCAATCCACCTAGCAGGACAGCGAAGATTCCCCGCAAATGGAGGCCTTGATAACCTGGAATGCTGATATCAAAGGGCTGAGAGCGGGGTTTGTGTCCAGTAAGGGCAAAAGATTTAACAGAGTCGGGAGGAGACAGAATTAGAAAGAAGAAGGCGTCTAAGTCACGCAGGAAGCGCTTTTTAAAGTACTTTTTTGCCTTTTGTTTGAGATTGTGGATCTGAAAATATTCTTCTTGCTCATATATATGAACATAGAATTTTGAAAGCCTGTTATTTTCCATAGATGACAAGGTTGTATACAGAAGGCTTCGAATAATCAGGCTAGAAATGGGACTGGGATGACCAAGTTCTACTGCAGGAGAGGTGCTCATGTCGCTCAATCTGGGGTAATCACCCCTATAGAGAAATTGCAGCGTCTTCTCGAGGAGAAGACTTACCTCCGATCTTCAGACGGATCTGGCGCAACTCACTATCCATCCTGCGAATAGAGGCAGTTTGTCATACATAATATGAACAGAATAAATCCATTCAAGAGCAGAATCAAAATGTTGATTTCTTCCTGTCTTCAACATGACACACACGGTATCCTAAATTCATCAATGTCACGTTGCCCTTGACAGGAGTATGGCCATCGCGGGGTAACCTCCTGGGATACTTCATCCGCCCTATCGTCGACCGACATATTGGAGAAGGCTTCGATATTAATACTTCTCTGGGGTAGTTATCTCTGGAGCTTGGCCAGCACCTGTAGGAGTGGTGGGCAGACCTTTGCCAAATAGAGTCGGCGGATCAATGGCAAAATGCATTCTATAGCATGTTCGGAAATGGCCTTTCAGGCACCTGACTACGCTCAACTTTGCCGCTAATTGAATTCCAGTGGTAGAAAGATGTGTGCGGCAGAAACGAGAAACGGTGGAGAGAAAATGAGAAGAATCTAAGGTCGTATCTGTTTGACTTGAAAATGTAGAGCTCGTGTGACTGCTATTGCCTGAGTTGAAGTGATGGTCAGTCTGGTTGTTATGTTAGTGAGCAACCTGAAAGCATATGACAGGCACGCTTGACTAGTCAATAAACGAAATTCTCAAGCCACCTGACAAGGCCAGAGTGATTATCTAAGCTGCCTCCTTGTATCGCTCAGTCTGGTGTAATCCCACTTGTAGAGAAATTGCAGCGCCTTCTCGAGATAGATGGGCTCGAGCTCCTCTATCACAATCTTTTCAGAAGATTTTCAAACCGACGCATCCATCGCATCTTCCACTATCTGAACTACCCCCACCATTCTCATTCCATTATCTACCGATGCATTATTTCTCTAGCGACCACATGCGCAGGATGAAGGTTCGAGCCTCCATGTACGGGCGTATTGTATCATACCTGGCACCACCACCACCACCATTGGGCCGTCGCTGATGATGCGACATCGACCTGCTGTACAACTAGCTCCGGCAGCAGGAAGATGAACGGAAAGATCAACCCTTCATTGGAAGCACTAGCCATCTTCTTCTATCTTTGACTGAAAGATCGATCGCATCTTCCGGTGATTCAGATTTCCCATTCCCTTTTTGGTCGCCTGCTGAGGTATATATAGTATTCTTGCAATCAGCAGCCACACGCAGGGGATGGAGGTTCGAGCCTCGAGGTGGGCTTATCAGTGCCATGGCCGGCGCTATCGTCATCATTTGACGAGGGAATTTACAATTTCGTTGCTGGTGAGACATAGTCAAAGCGCTGTTTGGGCTGGCAGCGTGGGTAGAAGGAAGACCGAGCCTGCGATAGAAGAAGGCTTGGTGTTTGCTTAATCTTATTACAGCGATTTCAATGCCATTGGGTCTTTTATCAATATGTAAAGAATCTTCCTGATAGGTTATCCGTGGCCATATGGTGTGGATAATGTCTTTATGTTTTGAGGATATATATAATCACTACTATTAGGAACTATAGTAAGTAGCCGTTCCCGCTTTAGAGAGAGATATATAGATATATAAGATCATTATTCTGAGAGAGGAAGCAAAAGGGAAAGGAGGAAGAAGAGCAAGAAGCAGCTTTATATAGACGAGTCGAAGAGCTAGATAGTAGGTGAAACAGCCTATCTACATTGAATCCCAATACTATTCCCATAAGGGCTTGATTCAACTTATCCAAGTCACATATCCTACCTAGATAAATTACCCACGGTCTCTGTGACTGCTCCTTGAGGGTGAAAGTAAGAAGGAGGTTAAAGAGTTGAAAAAGCCATGTGGTGAAGGTGTAAGGGTGAAGAATCAATCATTCATAAGGAGTGTAGTAGATAACAATGTAAGGATCCCGACTAAACTGTAGTGCCTTGTAGAATGGAACGAAACAAATTGAGCAGGACAAACTGCGGTAGAAGATTGGTCTCGGGTAGATAAGATGGACGGCTAGGAAGAAGGCAACAAAAAGAAAAAGACAAAAAATGGAGCTGCGGGGAATCGAACCCCGGACCTCTCCCATGCTAAGGGAATATTATACCACTAAACCACAGCCCCATTTGATGAAAGATGACTACATCTTATGGCTTATTAAGGAGATAGAAGGCTCCACCACGTCGCGCGGACTGTTCAGCTCAGACGCTACTCGATGGTATTGTCGGAGGTACTCCGCACTTGACCCATGAAGAATGTCAAACAACCTACAATCATATCAAGGGGATAATCTAGTGAAAATTCCATTCAGCAAAAACTATGTGACTTGGAAAGTAGAAGAAACATCAATAAGATCACTCATATTCCATTACATTCCGTCTTGCACAGCAGACTCTAGTACTAGTACTATATATTAAGTTGAAGTAAATAAAAACCAGATAAACTTTTGTTCCCGTGCACAGTATTCTCATACCACCCAGATCTAGACAATCGCATGTCCCGTCTGCTGGGCGCGACGGCCCGTTCCAATTCCATCCACTCCGCCCTCCTGGTCCTTTCCTAGCCACGGCTTCTTCGCCTCACCCATCTCGCCCTCCATGATGAAGTACACAAACAGGCCAATGACAATTAGCACGAAGGCAATGGGATACAGGAATTGGACGGAGTAATGGAACACCTGGATACCGATGATCAAACCCCAGAAGTTCATCGTCAGCAAGGAGATGTTGAAGAACATGGCTGATGACACACGCAGCATGATGGGCGCCAGCGTGTAAAAGATGAACAGCACGATAGTGTAACCCGCAATGTACCCGCCCACCTTGTTGTTCCAGGTGGCGCCGTGGAAGGAGCCCCGGTCGAAGATGGCGCACTGAACGCCGTTAATGAACATACCCCAGAAGCCCATCTGACCAATGACCTCGTACATGGGCCGCTTGGAAACCATAAACTCTTCAAACAGGTTGCTAAAGGCGTAGATGGTGCAGGCCAGAAGGGCAAACAGGTCACCCTTCACTTGATCTTCGGCGGGGTAGTTGGCACCGCGCAGGTAATCGGATGCGATGAGCATGCCCAGACCACCGCAGGCGAGGAAGATACCAAGGTATTGGGTGATGTGGTAGCGGACGCGCAGGAAGACGAAGGAGATGATGGCGACACAGATGATGGTCCAGAAGCTGAAAAGCTCGGCACTGAGCAGCGAGGTATAGCGGTAGGCGAGCACCATGAAGTAGTTGCCTTCGACGTCCAGGAATGAAAGAATAAAGTACCGCCAGCAGTCACGGTAAAGCATTCGAAACCATTTCTTGAAGCCGTACTTGTAGATGGTAATGCTGGTGTAGACGAGGTTGAGCAGGATGTAGTTCCAGAGGGTCTGGAAGGCGGGGATACTGTTGCCAGCGTTGGAGAGGAGGGACGAAAAGGTGGAGGAGCTGATATCGGCCAGCGCGATGATTTGACTGTTCTTGATTAGTATTTGGCCGCTCTTTGAAGTGGTTTTTGACAAGATATGCACTCACCCTAGAAGCAAAACCAACCAGAAATCGCGGGTCTTCATGTAGGCAAACAGCCTGGCCGCGCGACTTTGGGTTGGCTGCTGCTCCTGCTGGGCTTCCTGATCTTGCGATTGACCGGTCTGCTCCGAGGACTCGGTCACAGTATGCACCTGCTCTGTCTTCTCCGTGGAATATTGGGGTTGAGGCTGCATGTCGGCGACAGCCGCGGACTTTTCATTATCGGCAGACATGGCGGGGAAGCTGCAGAATGCGACGAGCGCACGGGAACTCAAACAGAAACAGGGAATGCGAAAGAGGGTATCCAATGGAGCTTTTCGCCAGCAAATGTGAACGCAAAGCTCCGAAGTCGTTCACTGCCAGGACCAAGGGGCGCAAAGAAGAAAAAAAGAGAAAAGAAAGCAGAAACGGGACGCTGGGATGAGAGGAGATTTAAAGCAGGCCGACGAGGCCAGACCGCGAGGGCGAAACTAAAAAGCAACTAAAGCAAAAAAACTTCAGATTTCCTTATCGCGGAGTGGGCCGCCGCAGCGAATGGCAGGCCGGGTGGGGAGATTTCTATAATGTAAGTAGAATGCAGTAGTGTCTTTCCATGATGACACTCGGGATGGTGGCCACCAGACAATGTTTGGTGGACTTGAGATAAAAGAAGATAGTACTAGTACTATCCTTGTATGAGATGGCAGTCAGTACTTGTCAAATCATAATCACAGTATTGTAGAATGAGAAGTGGAGGGAAATAGCAGTTGTAAAAGAGAACTTGGAAAAGTGAGGGGAGCTGCAGACGGAAGGCGCCCGAACCCGTCTCGGCGCACGGTCTTCGCTTCTGCCCAGTTCAAGTGGAGAAGGCCGCCCGTTTGCATCCAGTCACAACCAACCAATCCGCTTGTTTTCTCCTTCGCTTACCCGTGCCTTGTTTTCATCGTATCCATTGATTCTTTTGTTGCGTCGTTGGAAGCCATGACAGGAAGAAAGTATAAAGTGATCCGGAGGTACACATTCGGGGATTGGGTGATACTCTTCGTTGGCGGTATTCAAATGTCCTCCCCGACCGACCGCTACATAGCAGTCAGTCCCACATAGAGACACACAGTCGTCCTCTGCTACTCCTTCCTGGCTAGCACTTATAGTAAGTAGTACTAAGGTAATATGTGTATCGCCACGTGTGGTGGCGTTGCCTCTCATTGAACAATGCCCTATATACAGGCAGGTATATAACATGGATCTATCGTCGCTTCATCACTAAGATTTTCCTATTGTTGATCAGAGATACTGCAATACATGACACCACACCTGCAGATAATTTTCGACTTGTCGCCCATGCAAGCACCAGTCAACGCTAGTTCGCTGCCAGGACAGCCACCGCCCATGCCGGCAAACTGAAGGTAAAAGTACCATTGCTCGCCTGCA